GGGATAGTATAGGGGACTACTATAGGGGTTACTAAGAGGGATACTAGGAGTTTAGACTATAGCTCATATAACTTGTATGAAGGTCTAGGAGTGATTCTTTTGCATTTAGGGCTGGGTAGGGGCACAAACCTAAATACTACTTCTTAGCAGGTAGCGTCCTTTAGCTATTCTGATAATTAGTATTCGTTTTATGAAGAACAGGGATGTTGCGTAATGTACCTACCTGGCAAGTCAAATCCTTGTATCATCTTAGTTACGCTTTCACTGCACTTTCAATTTGATTCTGCTTTATGCTAACCTTAAGCCTTCAACCCGGAGCCCTAAACTCTATACCGTCAACCGTAAACTCTCAACTTTCAGTTGCAAAGTCGAAGCCTAAGCTTTAAATCGTAAACTCTGAACCGTAGGTGTAGGCTGCTTGCCAAGCCAAAGGTGCCAAGAGCCCGCGTGAAGCGCTCCAAGCGTCAACGGTCAGGGCCAGTTTGATATCTTCGCTTGGGAAGCTTTGTACCTGGAGCCGCAGGTTTGGTGTGTGGGGTTCAGGGTCTAGGGGGAGGCCTTTGTAGGGAATTGGGGACGGGACTGCAGGGATTAGCAATGGGGATTATGCAGGGCTCCATATAGCGGCTAAGAGCGACAGCTAACAATATCCATTCCACAGAAAGCAAAGCACGGGATAGTAAAAGTATGCCACATCTGTTTTGAAAGTTTTGTTTAAGTAAAGCCGGTGTCGATATGTTTTTTCCCACCTAGTGCACGCTAGATAATAGGAGTTAATGTGTCATTGAGTCATCCGCGAGCACTGAGTAACAAAGAAAGCTTCCTAATGGCGTTTTTTTTTCCAGCAGTCTTGTTAGGAGGTTAGTAAGAATCTCATCTCAAGCAAACAGCACAAGACGAGCCCAGTCCTCAAAGCTACTTTGCTGTTTATCCCTAGGGCTCCCAGTTACCTAAATAGTAGGTTACTGGGCTATGTAACTATAGGGTATATAAAGCCCAGTTCCCATTGTTTAGGTAGCTGGAGCCCTAGGGTATGCCATGGAGCCTAGACCTGATGTTGCGTGAAGGAGATGTCGTATCTAAGCTCCAAACCTCACGACCGAAACCTGCTCCATGGCCTCGACTCGCCATACCTTAGGTCTGCACATCAATCCCCGAAGCAAGGAATGAGGAACGCGGCTTGGGCGGTGCAAGATTCCCAGCGTGCGAAGCCGTGACTGCAAGATTCCGCAGGAGGCCGGAGAACCTCATTCTCAAAGACGACTACCTCCAGTGATTCCCAACGAAGCAGGCATGAAGAGCACTCCGAACCTGAACGGAAATGGCCTCAAGGTGAAAGAGGCCATGGCGTATTCTGAGGATCCTCTGGGAAAGATCCTACTCTCCAGTGCTAAACTTATGGACTTCTACCCGGCGAGGCTCATGTTTTTGGTCAAAGCCGCGCGCGGAGACATCAGTTGCCGCCAAGCGGGAGCACCCCACACGGTTTAGGGCTTAGGGTTTAGGGGTTTAGGGTCTAGGGGTTTAGGGTCTAGGGGTTTAGGGTTTAGGGTTTGGGGGAGGAGGGTAACAGAGTTCATTGCCGCTGCGTGGATCCAAAACGAATGCTCCAGTGCAATTACGATTACTTCTCCAAAGTCTTAGATATGATCCTGAATAGCTTAGCTCCACAAAGTGATGTTTCTGTTATTGCAGGCCGGCTTATGGATCGAGAGGGGGGTACCTCCAATAGATCTCAAACTGGCTTTGGTAGTGATGATGGTTCAGCCTTCTACATGTCATGTTCCGATCTGAGAAGCAAAAACCGCGAATCCCAAGCTCTGTAAGCCCGAAATTCTGAAACCCTAAACCCTAAACCCCTAAACCCCTACACCCCTAAACCCTAAACCCTGATATGGCCCGAGGCTTGGGGGCTTCAGAGCTAGAGAGCGATGTTTATCCCAATATAGCCCCTAAATAATCCCCATATGCCCCTATAAAACCCCTGAACCCCTATACATAACCCACTGTAATAATTTCCATCCGCTTGTCCATTATGTCTATATAACCCCCATATGATCCCCAATAGTTTGCGGTTTAGGCTTCAGGGCTCTTGGTCACAGGCTTAGGGACACTAAGTAGACTAAGTCACCTGAACGTCTGACCTAGTGATGGCTGGTTGCTCTCGTTGCTCAAGCTCTCAAGCCGGGGTGAAGTAGCACACCAAGGCAGCAGTAGAGCTCAACACCGTACACGTTGTGATAGAAAAGTGCTTCAGTTTATACCTAAAATTGCCCCTCTAGGTATGACATCACGCCAGTGTTCAGTGTGTAAGAAGACATTGGCACGGTGGCTGACACGTCAAAGCGACTTCGTTACACCAGCATGGAAGATCAAACTGGCCCCACCAAGTAGACTACTGTCGTTTTGAAAGGGCCTGTGTAACTTCGCCTGTTACCCCTGTTACCCCTGTTAGCTTGGAAGCGGGACGCCTGTTACACCTTACATATTGAGGCATCGAGTCTTCAATTACAGCCTTAGAGGTTCAGCACGCCGTCAGCTTGGCTTTAGCTTGCGCAGCCGCGGCACTCGCTGGCTCCAATGGTACTCGGAGCGTCCTAGCTTTCTCCGGCAGCTTCGCATTTTGGGAGACTTGGCTGCTTGATCCTAACTCCTAACCCTAAGCGAGTCGCCCGAAGTCGAGGCATACTTGCGGCTTGAGACTCCCAAGCTCCAAGACTTAAAGAGTTGTCTCGTATTTGGACGCACAAGTCACCAGGGGCTGATTCCCGAATGGGAGCCGTAGTCCACGCAGTGTTTCCTGGAGATGCTAGACATTCAAAAGACTGAGGGCCTGAACCGCGCTGCAAAACCTTGACAAAATTAACATTATGTAAAACAATAAAAACCTCAAGTTTCATCCCGCCCCAAACAGGTTTAAAGTTTGGCATTGGAGGTTTTAGGGGCTGAAGTTTTAGGGAATGTGGGCTGTAGAGTTGGGGGATGTTGGGGGTTCAGTTCAGGGGTTAGAGTTCACTAATATGAATGGTCTGGATGACCCCTCTATACCCGAAAGTACTCTATTCTTAGCGCGAGGGCCCCAAAGACGGGTCCCACATTGTTGAGAAGCGTTGCTTTAGGGTTTCGGAATTAGGGTTTGGTGTTGCGGGCGCTTAATTATATCTGATTCAGAACTATGGGGTAGATGACCGCGCTGGGCTTCAACAATTCCTGCGAATAATCTAGTTGTAACCTGATAGACCTGAGTCTGAGTTAGCTTGGCAATTCGTAAGAGGTCAAGTATTACGGGCTTCTTCCAAGAACGTGTAGATTTTCGGATGTACAGACTTTGGCCGACAACGGGTTGTATCGAGGGGAGTTGTAGCAGCAATGAAGCCCCTAATTCCTAAACCCTGAACTTAGCCTAAACCCAAAAGAATCTAAACCTTAACTTGCATATTCTCATGGCCAGGATTGGCAAGCATGTTTTCAACGTTGCTGAAAATTGCCTGGATGTGAAGTAGGGCTTTTAGTGAGTGTCTAGGGTTCCTCAGGAACATTTGTGGGTTTAGGGTTTAGGGTTTGGTGAGTGTATATATTCACGTGATGTCCAATTTGGGGGACCTCAAACAAAAATAATCAAAAATACAATGGGTCATATGGTCAATGAGAGCATGTTCCCTGTAACTCTACCAGGATTTCCAGACGCCATTCTCCCATCCCTGAACCAAGCCCTAAACCCTAAACCCAATTTAAACTTTGGGGTTTCTAGAAATGTCTACGGGCCTTCGCCCTAAACCCTGAACCCTAAACTTAAAGAGACTCCTCTTATTAGAATATACCCAACCTTAGAATCCCTATGTAACCCCTATAGAACCCCTATGATCCCTATGGTTTCCATTGTCTTCTCCATTAATATACCCAAGGCCATAGGATCCTGGAGGATAGCAGCTCGACATCGGGAAGCTCTCACATGAATCGGGACAGTGACCAGCGAGATGAGAATGTGAAGGACCAGATCAAGCAAGAGATAGTGATGGAGGCCGCGTTTAGGGTTCAGGGTTCAGAGCTTTGTTGCCAAGACCCGGTGTAGGATTCAGTCTTTAGGATTTGGAGGTCAGGGTTTAGGGAAACAAGCCAAAGCCCTAAGACCTAAAACTCTAAACCCCCTACGCCCCTAGACCCCCAAAACTCTAAACCCTAGACCCAAGCCCTAGACCCTGTACTTTGACCGTGTGGCAGACCTTGCCACGCATCTTCTGGGTGATTTCGTCATAGTGGTAGTTCCCTAAAGAAGGGGACCCCAATATAGACCCCATACCACAAGCTTTGTTGTGGGGACCCCCGAAATGGTACCCCTAATTTTGGGAAACCTCCATATACCCCAAACCCTGAACCCACCACCCACATAGGGTATGTGTTGGGGTTCCTTGGCGTCTGCCTAGTGTGCCCAGGCTTCAGCAGTTCAGGGTCATCATCATTGAGGTGGGATTTTAATAGAACGGAAGCTAGCGGTTTAGAGTTTAAGGTTTAGAGTTTAGGCTCTAGGGAGGGTGGGGGAGCGTGCAAACTAGGGAGTATAGAAGAGGATTATATGGAGACTTGGTATAAGGATCCTCCCCTTCGCTGTGTCACGGCATGTGTGGTCCTACGTGGTTTTTGACCCTGAGCCGCCTGAATCGTAGAATTCTCAGGTCTGTATGGGCCCCGCAAACCTAGGCAGGTGCATTTAAAGGCACCCGTGTCATGTAATTTGGCACCCTAAGCCCTAAACCCTAAACCCTATTTCGAGACTCTCGCAGTGTCTGGTCGTAATTGGGGCCTCTCCCCACCTCGCATAGAGTGTGTAGAGTCTCGTTGATGAGCTATGTGCTCGTTGGTCGAACAATGCAACGTGATGCGAGCTATAGTATAGGCGTCTTAAGAGGGTTGATGTAAGGGAGTATACAGGGAGTTTCTATAGGGTTTATGAAGGAGGATACTAGGAGTTTAGACCGTAGCTCATGCAACCCGACACCTTGGGTGCTCGTGGAATCTTCAAGAAGCCTTCATATCAATGTTCAGCCATCCCCCACCTCCAGTTGGAAAATGTTGGAAAAGCAAATTGAAACTATAGGGATTATGAGGTTTATATGGGGTCATATGAGGGTTAGTATGCTATATATATATATACACATATATATTAATGCTCCCCAGAAGAGACCTCATAGTAGGGTTGAGCGGCTTTTAATCTTACACTCCTTCATAAGCAAGGCAAAGCACAGACGGTCATCATAGTTGAATGAAGTATTGGGCTCAGGAATCTTGGCACGACGACAGCCAACGTTATCGCCCCTGCTTTGTTGATATCGCCTAATGAAAAACTGTGCCTGCAGCGCATTTTTTTGCTTGTAGTCCTGTAGTTCTTGGTCTTGGTCGGTTTCAAGTACTGCGGACTTCCAAGTATTCTTTCCAAGGCCTACGTAGCGATCCCAGGCCGTTGTCTGCGATGTCAGCGAAGGATTACAGTGCACCACTGTGTCCAGCCCCGCACTGGGTCAACGTTAAACAAGCTTCAAATAGGTTTTTCTCTGCCTAGTGGGCGCAGGTTGAGAACCAAGTAGAGCCTAAAGTAAACCCAGCCTCAGCCCAAATCAGCGGTTGCAAGCAGGCGGAGGGGCTCTGGGCGAAGCCTGTCGACTACGATGGGGTTTGCGGCCGCCTGCCGCAAAGCTCTATTTTCGTAGTTTGGGGAGGTATTGCGTAAAGTATCCGCATGTTTTCGGGTATATGCTTAGTTTGATCTCCTGGGAATCTGCAACTTCATTTGTTACAGACACGTTGCAAGTCCAGCTTAGGCGATCACAGACCCAAGCGGCGACGCAAACGCTTGATCCGGACAAGCCCCGAGGAAGCGAACTCCTTGGAGTCGCAAGAGCCAAGTGGTGTATCGTGCCATGGAGGCGAGCAGGGCTGCGCTGCAGAGGCCCCGCAAGACCACGCCCATGGACAAGAAGCTCGGGTGGGCCAGGCAGCTTACAAGCGATTCCGCAGCCTGGAACGCCAGAGCGGCGTGCAAGGCATCTCCTGGGAACGCTGCTTATTCCGCTGGAAGCTCTCTGTGCAGCGGCTCAGGAAGCGACACAACATCCACTTCCCCATCTGCAAATTCCTGCAGCATGGCCTTGGCGAGGAGGAGGCCGTGGCGGCCGCGTTGTGCGAAGCCAAGGCCCAGCGGGAGAAACTCATAAGCACAGGTATCCTCAAGCCACCGAAGGCCGATCACGGCAAGCACTCCACGGTGAGGGGAGTGTGGTTTAACCAACGTAGCCAGAAGTGGGAGGTGGAGTTAAGCCATCCCATCACCAAGAAGAGGGTTCGGCGCCGCAGCTTCGCAGCACAGGAGGAGGCTGAGGCCACGGCGCGAGAGCTGGCCAAGGAACTCGGCATCAAGGAAGTTGAGGGCATTGTGTTGCCGGTGAAGCAGTTCTGTGAGCTGAAGCACTTTGAGCCGCTCGGGCCGGAGGAGGGAGTCAAGTGGAGGTTCGGGGAGCAGTGCTGGCATGCCTTCTGTAAAGTTGGAGGCAAGACCAGGAACATGAGGTCTCGCCCCAAGGACTTCTCGGAGACGGAGGTGGAGAAAGCCTGGAAGCAGGCCCTGGCTTGGCGGAAGCAGCAAGAGAAGGAGCGAGACCAGGCCAAGGCCGAGAAGAGCTGAGGAGAGCTCCGCAGTGCATCGCCGTGCCAGACATCTCGGTTGAGCGCTGGGGCCATTGCGGCCACTTGGCCACCCAGTCGGGGGAAGCTGCCAAGGAACAGCAACGCTGATCATGGCAGTGCGAAGCAAAAATCCACTGGAGCACAGGGTCTCTGCAAAAAAGATCACGTTGCAACTTGCCTTTGGGTTGGCTTGCATCTAATTATTTCCCTCATACATGCCTGGCAGTGGCAAGATCCATACTTTTTGGATTCTCCTAACCACCCCTACCCCGCCAAGGTTCCCCGTAGTCAGCCTTCGATAACCCTGAGTAAGCCACATCTCACCTTTGGGTGGCTAGGAATGCAGGAATGGATCCTTATATCAGTCCCTATCCACCCTATACTGAAACGACCCGTATACAATCGGAGGTTCTTATTGTAAAGCGTTGTGCTTGTAATAAAGGTCCTATAGTTAGCTGACTGTTCCAGGTGGGGGCAGTATCCAACTTATACTATCGCAGGATCTTGAAAGGAGCCTCCTCCCCCAAATTAGAACCCCGTATTAAGGGACTAGTAGCCCAACAGGGAACTATGAATGGAGATCCAGGCTAACTGAGGATTATTTTCTCCGCGGCATCCGAGGGGGTTCAACCCTAAACACTGAACCTTTTCGGTCTCAAAAGGATCGTATGACAATAGATGCAAAGCCGCTCATCTCCCACGGTCGCGGCTGAAGCAGGAGATGTGAACTGAACCGTTATCCTCTGACATTCCCAGTAATGTTGGACAGAGTTTGGGTTTTAGGGTGTAGGGATTAAGGTTCGGGGCTCAGGGTTAGTGTAGCAATTCTATCTGGGCTCAAGCCGCCCATGATTTTCGGCAACTGGCCTTTCGAGGTAGGGTTTGTGATTCATGGGTGGATCAAAGCAAAGCTATAATATGTTTCTTAAGTTACAATAAGTGGCACCCTAGCATCCAACAGCTACACAAAGCTCAACGGGTAAATATACGTAGTGTTGTACATAGACGATACTAGCCATAATGTAAACATCTCAGACAAGGTGGGGTTAAAGACTCTGGCAAGAGTTATAAGACCTCCTCACGCCGGGCTATAAATTACAATCAATGTCGGTGCTAGTCAACACCCCGCTCATAGCTACCTATGACCTTTCAAGTAAGCTCAGCTTTTTGTTACAGTTCAAACACGAAACTCAACCCCGCAAGCGCCGAGTTTGGGTATTGCCCGCACCGTACACCAGTCCACGAATATTCTAGCTCTAGTCATGTTCTGATTTTAATAAGGGCCCTATATGTATGAATGTCACAAGGCGCAGTATCCACTGCTGAATCAAAAGATTCACCCAAGCAAACCGAAACTGTTGAACATTCCGAGTAGTGTTGAAAATTCTTAGTGTGTAGAGTTTACGGCTTTGGTGGGTTTATGGTGTAGGGACCAAGGAATAGGGTGCAGGGTTCAGGGTCTAGCCTTCGGGGTTCAGGGTTCAATGCTGATCGGGCCTGTAGTAATTTCAGTGCTACCGTTACGGATTGTAGACATGAAAGTTTTCTCAGAAAGGATTGCCAGACTTTTGATATCATCCCTACAAATATTGCTGGGGTCCCGAAGGGCCCTCTTTTCTGAAAACCCAACGCATGATAATCGACTCGCTCAATACTGGCTAAACCATAAGCCCTAAGCGCCTAAAAGCTTGCTGAGGAATATAGGTACATGTGTACCTATGTGTATGTTCCGTTGATGCATATTTCTGGTTTTTGGGTATCTATTTGGGTAGATCATCAGTAAAATCTGTATCAGTCCTTGCCTGAAAATGACGAGGGTCTCGGTGGGAATCATGCGACATGTGCCCTACATCCCCTTCTATTTACATAAACGGGCGCTGCACCTAAAAAGCTATGAACAGTTCGTCCCAAACTTTCCTCCACTCTAAAGCTTGAATCCTGAACCTGAATTCTTCAAACTCAATGCAGCCCTATGAAACGCAATGTGAGAATTTCCACGAATTTAATATACCATCAGTTTTTGTATTTCTCCTGCTGCAACACCTGCACCGTGGACTCGGCCGAACCCTGGTTATTTCCTTTCCTTAACCCTAGATCCTCAACTGCAAAAGCCTCTTGCTGGACACCTGAGGCCTGATGCAGTGTGCCGACGGCTGGTCAATTTCTTGAGCCAGTCGCCGGCATTCGAAGTCAAGAGCCCCATTAATCTTTAGACCATAGTACACCAGACCCAGACTGTAAGCTCAAATCTCTATGCCGTCATCTAAGGTTCTGTCCGTGAACCACTAATGGGTTTTAGATGGTATACAATAGGTATATAAGGACCTCAGGATTAAGGGCCTTTCCCGGGGGTGATATTTCCAACCTTAGATCTAAACCCCCGGAACTGAGACATGGTTTGGGGTTTGGATTCAGGATGAGGGTTTAGCATTTAGGGTTGGAATGAAGGAAGGGCCCTTAACCCTAAACCCTAACCCTAAGGGCCATCAACAGGACATAGGCAAAGTCCAGAGGGAGAAAGGGGGCATGCTCTAGCGTCACAGGGCTTGACGACGGTCAAAGGGCTTTGTGATTTCTATGGGCGTTGATCTAGGACGTTCGCAGGGTTGTTTTTTGCAAGTGAACGAATTAGAAAAATACGAGTTTTCATAGTTGCCCGCTCAGGAGTCTGCAGTAGCTAGCCCTAATTACACCCCACACCACGTAGATAACCTTCAGCCTATTGGGAATATGTATCACGACTAGATAACTGAGGTTGACACTCTCTGGGGACAGGAAAACCAGCTAAGAGCCAGGACTGGGTTCACTAGCCGGGTGTAGGGTTTAAGGTTTTAAGTTCAGGGTTTAGGGTTCAGGTTTTAAGTTTAGGGTTCAAGCTTTGAGTTTAAGTAGGGTGTGGGGTCTGTGGATTTACAGTACGGCTCGGGAATTTCCGGGTAGCATTTTCTTACCCTTACCCCGCGTCTTCAGTTTTTTTTTTTAAGGGTTGAGCGTGTATCCAAACACAGAAGCCCAAAATCTGAATCCCCCTTGAATATGACCACTGTTCCTTCGGAAAGAGTCTGTGGTACGGTGCTCCGTGTGTTTGGTGATGGTCGAGCCCAAACCCCTAGATCTGAAACCAAAACCTGAAGGAAACACACAACAAAAAACGACAATCCCCATAATCCCCAGGCTTGAGGGTTTAGGGTTTAGGGTCATCCCACTAAAATAACCCTATAAACCCTAAGCCCTCCCTAAACCTGTACTCTATCCATCCGTCAACCCCCGGCACCCTTCTGGCAAGGTCAGCCTCAGCATGCAAGCTTTATTGAGAGCTTGGACCTTCAGCAGGTGCCTTGCAGTCCCAAAGGGGGACTATAAATTTGGGGCTTAGGGGTTAGGATTAAAGTTTTAGAGTTTAGGGTGTTTAGGATAGCAGGTGCCTGGAAATCCCGAAGTGGGACTACAACTTAGGAGTCTTCTTGAAGGGTGGTCGGGTGCTACTGTAGGGGGTTCTATAGGGATAGATAGGGAATAGGGCTCAGGGTTTAGGAGTTTCCGAAACTTAAGGGTAACCTTTTGGGGTCTCTTTAATGCGGAGTATAGTATTTTCGGGGTCCCTCATTTATGGCAGCAACCATGTACAGGGCTTAGGTCGGGTTTGTATCGGGTCCGTATGGGGTTGCAAGGTCGAGCAGCGTTGTTTAGGCGTTCATGGAGGGTTTCAGGGGCTTAGCGTTTGGATTCAGGGACGGTCTCAGGGTCTAGAAGTTGAAGGTTTTTGGTTTCCCTAAACCCTGATGGGGTTTTGGCTGAGCGTTCAGGGTTGAGGTTGTCCCTCTTGTAGGAATTATGGGGAATAAGTAGGTGAGACCATGCCGGTGTTCATATGGGTTGTTGTCAACTTTTTGGATCCCTATTAGAACACGGCACCTAATTTTTAGGGTACCCAAAAAGGGACCATAACTTTGACAACCGTCCATATGGGGCTTCGAGTATGTTTATTGTATAAGGCTCCAGTGGGATGTTAGACTGTAGAGAGGCTTCCGGAGGAAGATTAATGAGTGTGTGGAGACGGTGTCTTTTTAGGGCGGCCGTGAGTTCTTTCGGGTGTGTACGTACAGCGAACTATAGGGCTCTGAGGCATAGCCAGCGTCTCCCTGGAGACCCTTGACCTGTGCATCCTCACCCTTGTCATTGCCTTGCTGCTAGTGCAATAATGAAACAATCACAGAGGATAGTCCCTAGCACTAGGGTGGTAAACCCGGAACCCCAGACCCTAGCCGCTAAATGTTCATCCCCTACCCTCAGCCGTAATTACTAGACCCTCAACCGAATTCCTGGACTCTAAGCCCTGTCTAAATCCAGCCCTACGCACCGAATCACAAGGCCTAAACCCTCCTCAAAGCGCAAAGCCACCAAACATTTGCAGGCGCCGATTTCGGCACTTCAGAGTTCCGAGATGCACCACGCCGTCAGGACCTTTTCAGGGTTTTGCGGGCTGTCGGGACTCCTTGAGCAGGTTGTAAACCCTGAACCCTAAACCCTAAAACCCTAAACCTTTGTATGGATCTATAGAGCTAAGAGGATGTAGGGCTCCAGGTTAAGGTTTCATTGCTTCATCTACTGGGCCGTGGTTGAAGAAAGCTTAGAGTGTTATAGCTGTTTTGGATTAGGTAAGTCTGTACAGCATCTCAACAGCATCCAAGTTAAGGGCCCTGGGATTAAGGTTTACTTAGGCTTCGGGTCTGGGGCTTTCGGGTTTAGTCTGTGGCTTTGGGTGTCAACGAGTTCGGTTGGATGAGAGTTGGGGGCTCGGTGTGGTTCCAGCAGAAGCCACAGTACCTCTGCACTAGGTTCCTGTAGGAGATATGGGTTTGCAGAGGGAGTACAGAGAAGTGACCCGCCATGTGTGTAACTGGGCCTTGAAAGTCCTTTCTAGGTTTCAGGCGTGAAGGCTTCGTGATTTGGACATTCCAGGGGCCTCGTATTCATGCATGCATTTGTCTGTTTGGT